ATGGCCGGCCTCGGCCACCCCGCCGCCTTCGGCCGCGCCACCCACGCCGTGGTGCGGGCGCTGCCCGAGTCGCTCAGCCGGCACGCGCTGAGGCGCGCCCAGGGCGAGGAGGTGGATTTCGCCCGCGCCGAGCGCCAGCACCAGCTCTACGTGGACGTGCTGGGCAGCAAGCTGGGGCTGCAGGTGGTGCAGCTGCCGGCCGACGAGAGCCTCCCGGACTGCGTGTTCGTGGAGGACGTGGCCGTGGTGTGCGAGGAGACGGCCCTCGTCACCCGCCCGGGGGCGCCAAGCCGTAGGAAGGAGGTAACTGCGAGGGGCGCGGCCGGGGACTCGGGCCCTCCCGCCGCCGGGCTCCCGGCCCGGGCGCGGCATCGCCCCCCGCCCCCGCCACTCGCAACTTCCCGTGGGGCGGGGGTGCCACCGAGGAGAAGTTCATTGTTCACACCTCCGGGCGTCCGGCTGAGTGCTGGGGCGGGCTCGGGCAGGTGGATGGGCTGGAGTCCATCTCCCAGGCGTTTGTGGTGGTAAAGATTAAGGGACAGCAGAGACAGTGCAACTCTTGTGTGTGTCCCACGGAGTGGGGCCCGGAAAGGGGTGTAGTTGGGGGCGGACTGGTGGAGGCTGGGTGCTCCCCCACCCGGGGACGGCACCCGTCGATGACACTGGAACCCCCAAGTCCTGCCTGGCGCGCAGAGCAGGGCGGGCCCATGATTGTACAGGGCATCCGTGCCTGCAGAGCCAGGGCGTCCCGAGTTACTTTTCAATGATGGCAAGTGAATCACTGTCTAAAAGCAGTAAATGAATTTAAGGAGAGTGTTTTGTAGGTGAGCTGTGTGTGTGTGTGTGCATGCGCACGCAGGGTTTGAAAAGCTGTACTCTCTGTGGGATGTTGGGTGTGTGTGTTTGATTAGAAGTGGCTGTTTCGCAAGTTCCACAATTTTTAGTCTCTGTATTTTTAAACTCGTGGCAATTAAGAGCTTTCTGTGTTCTCAGGGGATAGTGACTGTACAATATTACAGCTCGGAAAAATGGCTGTGATTGCTTGAAAGACAGTATAGGTTAATGGGGAGAGACAAATAGAGTGAGATTGGATTTTAAAATGCCATCTGGTTTGGGATTCTTCGCAGTGCCCGTTAGGAGCCCGGGCTGAAGACTGTTGCTCCTGGCATCCGGTGGCATTACAAGATGCAGGTGGTTTCCTTCATATCTAGAGGCTGGGGGATTTTGGTTTTTTTTTTCTATTTTATCTTTATTCACTTTGCACTGGAAATACAAAGAGCTTTTGATTTAAATATGCTTATTCTACACATACTCCCCTACTTGGTTGGTGGGAACTCCATGTGACTTGACAATAAACCCATAGCGTTTATTTCTCACTGAGATGAATAATCAGCTTTTTTCCCTCTACCCTACTTTAGCAGAAAACTAAACTACAGAACAGGTCTTAATCTCCTGACCACACCTTTCCTCTCTATTTCTAATTGAGCAGGAATGTAACTATTTGAATATGTCTAATGGGCTGTACAGCAGAGCTGTGGTTTGTATTTCAAAGACCAAAACAAGTTTCAAAAATCCTTTCAAAATGGTACTAACTAGATGAGCGTAGTCCAGTTTTTACTGAGAGGCTGTCCCCATACTTACATCCGTTTGTTTTCGTTCACCTAATGAAACTTTGCAAGTGTTGGCCTTACTGATAACTAGTGTGAGCGGTGAGCTTCCTCCCCTCCTGTGATTTTGAGGCCCAGAATTTGATATCACCCTGTTGGTCCATTGCCAAATGTCACATAATCCAACCATTAGCTGGATCTCGGCTCCATCACTGATTCTCTGCTTTTGGCGGATGTGTATCTTGCCTCAATTTTCTTCCCTATAGAGTGGGTATAATAATAGCTGCTTTGTAGAGTTGTAGTAAGTTTATTAATCCTCTTCAAATTCACAGGATGGGGCATTTAATTAAGGCCAACTGTTATTATTCAGTACACATTGGGACCTGGCCTGCCTGAGTTAATAGCCTGCCATACACTAAGTCAGTGACATTTGCAGTTCACAAGGTGAAGGTCAGTCATCTTCATGTGTCAGGCTTCATCTTAACCTATGACGCTGGCTCTCAGCGTGGGTCTTTGTGTATCTTTGCTATCAGACATGATCTGGGTCACCAGGGCAAGAGGCCTCAGGACTAGGCTGGCTAGGCTGCTCGGAGGGGCAGAATCATACCAGGTCCACACTCTTTGGAATCTCACAGAGCAGTATCCTGCTGCCTTGCTAGGCCTTGGTGCTTGTTGAGTACATGAATGCACAGAATGTGAATGAGCTAATTCAGACATATTGATAGTAACTTGCAGACCCTTTTGAGCTCGCTTATGGAATGTATTATTTTTTTTCCACATGACTGCCAACTTCAGAACTGAAAATCCACATCAGCTAAGGAGTTAAACCGATTATCACTGATCTCTGCTTCCTGTCTCTTCACATTCCATTTCATCCTGTGCTGTAGCCAGGGTGGCAGTTTGAAACTCAAATCTGATCTTGTCCCTCTGCTGACTAGCATTCTTGAGGGGGTCCCCATTGAACTGAGGTCTGCCTCCTTTTCAGCTTTAGTGTCATCTCTGGCCCACCCAAACACCTCTGAACTCTTGGTTTAGGACAGGTTCTTTCATCCAAGATCTTCGCACTGTGTCTTTCCTGGACACGTATTGTCCCTTTATATGGGACACACTCGCTCATACCTTTCTTACTGTTACCTGGCTGCTCCTTTTTCATCCTTCAGGGCTCCGTTTATTGCTCTTGTTAGTATCATTAGGTAACGTTGTTCCAGTGCTTGCCATTTGCCACAAACTGCCAGGTCTGTGCTAAGTATTTCATGAATGTCCACATCAAGTCTTTGAGTTCAACACTATCACTGTTCTTATTTTAAAAGTTGATGAAACTGAGGCTTAAAGAAATGGCCAATAAATTGGCCAGTGTTGTAGAAGTAGTGAATCCAGGATTTGAACGCAGGTTTGCTGGATGTCAAAGCTCTAATCCCACCTTCTGTGAGCACCTTCCAGCTTGGGTTGGTTCTAAACCTCCTGTAACTCTTCATAGTACACATCTTTTGTATCCCTCACTATTGTATCAACTCTTAGAGCATGTTTCATTGTTGAACATTTTGTTGGCACACAGTAAACACTTTGTTGAACACACATGTCTGTGATTCTCCCATTTTATGACATACTTTTTGATACAGGTATTTTACAAGTGGCCCCAGTAGTAGAGTCCCAGAGGTTCTATTGTTAGTGGGGTGGGTTGTAACTCTCTCCATTTTCATGTCTCTGTTGCTTGTTCTGTTTTTGTTTTTGTAACAAACTTGAGATGGTCCATCTTTATCAAAACACTGTATTTAGTGACTCTCCTCCCTGGAAGAAGGAACTAGGAACCAAATTTAAGAAAGTACTTCTATAAAAGCAGAATGTTTGTCCCAGTGCAGCCTGTAGAGATTTATAAAACTCAGGCCCCCTGTGCAGGGAGTGTAAATGAAGAAAACTGTATGTACAGAAAGTCAGTAAGTCAACGATAATGTTTGTTGTCCAATAACCACATCTCCAGGACTCGGGCTGTTTAATACTCTGAAGACAAATTAGTCTTGAGATGTCTGTCATATTTCAAATGAAACCAGCCTACTTTTGTTTTTAAGCTTTTCCAACTTACTTTTTAGGGTTAAGAAAAATCAGTGTTTAAAAGCCAAGGTCCTGGAAACCAGCTGTCTGTAATACGCAGCAGGACAAAGTTAGGGTGTGAGGATTGAATTTAAAAATAAAACTAAAATTTTTGGGGCCGGGGAGATGGCTCAGTGGAATAAGTGCTTCTCTGGCAAGTGCAGGGGCCTGAGTTCAATCCCCAGTTCCGAAAAAAAAAAAAAAAAAGAAAAGAAAAAAGCTAAAATTTTTGTATAGCTGACAAATCCATGGAGGACCACACTGGAAGCGTGTCAGAAGGTGTCCAGTCCAGTCGGTTTCAACCCCACCTCCGCTCCTGTAACTGGCTGCCCTCTTCTCCTCTTTAAAGGCAGCTACTAAGCCCACTCTTTGAGTTCCTTCCAAAAGGTTTTGAGTACCTAGTGATTATCTGGCAATCAGCTGAAACAAAATTGTGAAATGCGTTCCCTGCCCTTATGCCCCTCTTTTATTTTTATTTATTTTTTTTTGTTTCCTCGAATGCCTTCAAGGCACTTTTGGCCAGCGGGAGAGTTGTGAGGTTCGAACTCCAGCAACCTGAGGCTGACAGCTTTGTGGAAGCAGCCACTTAAAGGACTGAGCTAGGGCCAGGCCCCCTATGCCCCTCTTTTAATAGTGATTTCATTTCTTCCCAGATACCAAGTATTAATGCTGAGATAATTCTATTTAGGAGAAAAAGCACATAAACACATTCTCACTACATGGTGAAAGCTTTAATTCTTCCCTTGATCATTTTCATTTTTAGAGCCCTCTTAATGAAGAAAACCAGGCTTAGCACAAGGTAATAAATCCCCCAAAAGATGTAGGCATCAAATGGGGGAAGGGAGGTACACACGAAAGGAATGAGTAATATATAATTAGGCAGCTAGTCACCTTTCATTAGGGCACCTGCGAGGACCTACAGCTTTTGCCTGGGGTTAAGAGTAAGCATAATGATGTTGATCCCAGAGGCAAGGTGAGTGTCAAGATCACCCCTAATAGCAGTTGCTAACAAATGCCAAAGTTTTGAATGTGCATGAGCCCTAAAAGATAGCATTACTGTTGTAACTATTTCAAAAATAAGGAAAGCGAGACTTAGGTAACTACAGTTAAGTGCCTTGGCCAAAATCACACAAAGTAAATTACAGAAATGAGGTCTTCGTGCAAAGGTCATTTTCTGTTTAAAGTGCTTCTTGACAGTTGTGGTTGATTTTAACAAAACATTAAATAGACACAGAATAACTACTTGAGCCCCACTTTCCATGTCAGTGATAAATAATCTATGTGGGACATTAACTGAAGCATTTTAATTCTTTTTTCTTATGAAAAATTATCCTAATTTAAAAATATTAATTCGATCACCATACAAACCTCCTAAACTGGGGGCCGGTGAGGTAGCTCAGCGGTCTAAAGTGCCTGCTTAGGCAAGCTCAGGCAGGCGCTGCACCACGTGCCACACCAGCCCCACCCCCAGGGTGGACTGAGCCTGCCACAAAACAACAACAAAAAAAACCAGATCTCCTAAACAGGGCACAGTTTGTACATAACTGAGTCTTATTTCTTACCAGAGTAGATGTCAACTTTTTAAATGCACACATTCCCTCAAACTTC